TACTGGTTGTTGTGTGATGGACTGAATTGCTGAGTCTTGGACTGTGCGGTTGGTACTGAATAGAGTCTGAAAGTGTTCAGACCATCGATTCAGAATGGCGGTTTTATCTGTCAGAAGTGTTTGACCATCAGCGCTGAGTAGAGGGCTTTGTACCTGGTATGTAGGCCCGTATGCTGTTTTCAAGGCCTCATAGAAACCTCTGTGATCACCTGTATCTGCGCATAATCGAGTTTTTTCAGCTAGATCAATCCACCATTTGTTCTGGATGTCACGGAGTTTCTGTTGGAGTTTGCTGCACGCAAGACGAAAGGCTGTTTGTCTTGCGTGACAGGATGGCAGTGCAAGGTGTGCTTGGTGGGCGGTTCTCTTCTTCCTCAACAAGTCTTGGATTTCTTGGTTGTTTTCGTCAAACCAATCCTTGTTCTTCTTGAGGGAGAACCCTAAGGATTCTTCAGAGGATTGCAGGATGCTGTTTTTAATATGATGCCAGATTGTTTCAGGAGAGGAATCTGCAGAAACTGTGGGAATGTTATCGAGCTTAGTTTGAAGGTTTGCCTGGAAACTGTCTCTTACTGTGGCTGATTGGAGATTGTTAACTTGGAGTTTTCTCCTTGGGATGCTGCCCCTTTTTGGTTTGATTTTGATCTTGAAATTGAGTTTACAGCGCACCAGCCGATGGTCTGTTTGGCATTCTGCACTGGGCATCACGCGGGTATGGTGGACATCGCGGACATCTCTCCGTCGCACCAGGACATAATCGATGAGGTGCCCATGCTTAGAACGGGGGTGCATCCAGGTTGTCTTCAGACTATCTTTCTGCTGAAAGATAGTATTAGTGATGGTGAGTTGTTGCTCTGCACAGAATTCTAGCAGAAGTCGACCATTATCATTACAGTTTCCAACACCATGCTTGCCTAATACACCTTTCCAAACTTCAAAATTCTTGCCTACTCTGGCGTTGAAATCACCAAGGATAATGATCTTATCGTCTGCAGGGACCTTTTGGGTAAGGAGGCGCAGGTCAGTGTAAAATTTATCTTTTTCAGCAGGGTCAGCTTGGAGAGTTGGGGCATATATACTAAAGATGACAACATGTTGCTTGTTGTTTAGTGGAAGGCGTAGGGAGATAATGTGGTCAGAGTGACCTGTCGGCAGATTTTCGAGTTTAGGAACAATGGAGTTTTTGATCATGAAGCCGACTCCTGAGAGGTGTTTTTCGGTTCTGGGCTTGCCTGACCAAAAGAGTGTGTAACCGGCACCATGTTCTCTGAGGCTGCCTTCTTCATGAAGGCGAACGTCACTGAGAGCGGCAATGTCGATGTTGAGACGAGCCAGCTCATGGGCAATTAGGGCAGACCGACGCTCAGGACGTCCGCTATCTGCAGAATCGAGCATGGTTCTGATGTTCCAACATGCTAGAGTTAATTTAGGTACACCTTTGGAGGCAGGTGCGTGCCTTTGACTTTTCTTTGTGCGACTGCATTGGAGGAAGATGCCCGTTGGCCTGCGGTTAACCAACCGGGTGAAAGTGGAGATGAGCTTTGTTTAGGCCACCTTTTCTAGGCCCCTCTCCGAGTGGAGCAAGCAGTGCTGTCCTTGGAAAGGCTGCTTGGTCGTTCAGGGTGCTGCCTCAAGAGACTGTCATCTCCGGTCAGTCTCAACTGACCAATATCCTGAACCGCCTGCATGCAGGGTTGAGTCTGCGGCTCCCAGTGCATCTTTCACCTGCCGTTTTGACCCTCGCCCGTCGCTACAGGACTTTTTGCATGTGGGTAAAGCCTTCAAGCCTGCGCAATGGATTTTTTAGGTGAGATGCAGTATGCGCGGAACTGAACCCACCCTTTAATCCCGAGGTTCATCTGCCAGGGCCGAGCGAGCTTGGACGGTGGCAGTGAGATCCTCAGGACGTAGGTTTGATTAGAGTGACCTTCTCTTAGATGGATGGCCTTACAGGGCTAAGCGAGCTCCATCTGCCCGGGAATTAGGTAGAAGGTAGAGGAATAATAATGAAACCATATGCAAGACTTCTGCTTAGAAAACATTTTCTGTTCACTCATCTTCTAACAAGTTCATTAAGTATATTTGAGCATTCCTCTTTGCTAACTATTTGGTTCTGTTTTCCCTGCTTCCTTAGTTTTCTTCCACTGTCTTCCTATCTCATTCTGCTCCAACTGTAACTCCACCTTGTTCTTCAGGTGTCAGGATAGGGACACCTGTGGCTAATCTTTAGCTATTAAATCCTACTAGTAGTGCCTTGTAATAAGAAAGGGATGTAAATATAATGCATTTATCTTAACTGTCAGTGCATTATACCTTGCTAGTTTCCTGGAATGTTGCCTACACAGCACCTTTCTTTCTTCATTACATTGAGTATCTTAATTCGCCACCTTCAGTGTTCTCAAACCTTCATGTCTTTCAGGTAACATTTTGCCAATAACTACTTGGTGTTGCTCCTGCCTCATCTCTTAATCCACTTATTTAGCTTGTGTTATGGTATAGATACTTTTGATTTAGAACACTTACACACCTTTCATCGTAATCTTTTATAACTACAAGTGTTCATCTGTGATGGGGTTCTTGTGTCTAAGTGAGTTTCTGAAAAACAAGGAGTGTATAATCCATGCCATTTTCTGAATTAGTACTTTATCTGTCAAATTCTAGATCATCATACAGGAGTTTACCGGAGAAAGATAAGAATATACCTGAATTCCTTTCTGTGGTATTTGCCGAGTAAAAAAAATGTATTTTTTTTATTCCTACTGTCACTTGCCTTCCTGATAGTACGCTATTTAATTCCTAGGACATATGTAGTATAGTTTGTCCAATATTCATATAACACTGATTCATCCCTTGAGTTGTACTTTGCAAGATTCCTGTAGAAAACACATTTTCATGTATATTAACAGTACCATGGATGTAAAACAAGAGTTGACCTTAGGCTATCTCCTTGTAATTCATATGTCCAAGCATTTGTAACTTCGTTACTTGTAGTGTACACATTGTTTATGTATTTCTATATATATTTTGAAGAAAGAAAGAGTAAGTAATATCAGTTATATGCACCTGTAGTATCTCCAATCTCATTTCTGACTGAATCCTAAACCTTCACCACAACTTGAGCAGCCACAATACCCATATTGGTGAGTAATTCAAGAAAAACGTTTTCCCTGAAGTGCAATGCATATTGTTGCCACTTAGAACTTTTCCTCGGGTTTCTGTGTTATGTAACATTTTTCTTAATGATCTAGTTCCATGTGAGATTATAAGCATTCCATGTGAGATCATAAGCATTTATTTTTTTTTTCTCTTTCTCATTTTTCAAAACAAAACTAAATATATTATTTTTGAAAAAAGTTTCAAATTAGTAAGATGTATTAGGGTTCTAGTAGATTATGTCTTATTACCTGGAAGTGGTAGTATCTCAACCAGGATATTGGGGAAAGTATCTTTGCTCTAGATCCTGATGTTTTCTTTTCAGATAAGGATCTTTTTTTCCCAATTGAGATTTCCTTTTCTTTTCCTCAGTTAGGAAATATATAGCAACTAGGTTATAACTGCATATATTTTAATTGAATTTGTCTTCTGAAGGAGACATATTTTATTTAAGAATGACAGTTTCTTCTTAGTATATTAGAATTGATTGGAGATTTCCTTGGAGTCCCATGATAACAGTAATGTGGGTGTTTCACTTGAGAGTTTAAATCAGATGCTATTTTAATGCCATAAGACCAGGGAAGGAAAGCAACGATTAACATAAGTATTTCCAGTGTATTTTTCTAATGGACACCCTATCAGAACTAAATACTTAAATTGTTAATATATTGTTTAGTTGCATTGTTTTTTTGAGAATCAAATGCAAGTTAAAAAAAAAAACATTCTGTTGACTGAGTTTTGAGTAAGAATTTCTCCATTTTACATGGCTCAGGTAAAAAGAAACAGGACAATTTAACTTGTGCCTCTGCTAGTGTCCTCCAGAGAGCATAAAGCATCATTGAATTTCCGTGGTTCATTCAGTCTTTGGCTTCCTTGATGAGATTTCTTAAAGAAAAGACAATTAGTGTGGTTTGAAAGGGTTCACCTCACTTGTGTGGGATTTTGTTTTACTTAGGCTATGAAACAACCATCAAATAATAAAAACTTTCAATTCAGTCTTGACTCAGACTAGAAGGATATTGCTAAAGTAATTTTTATTGTCGTCTTCTCTATTTCAGATGACACAAATTCAATTTATCAGTAAAAGACATTTGTTTACCAGATTCAGCAATTCTGAAAAGAACTTTTGCTGTAAATGAGTGTTTTATGCTTCTAAAAATATGAATCCTTTTGAGAAGCTACCTGATTTGTTTCTTCCATACTCTGAATCATATAGGAAAAAATGTATATAATAAAGGAAAAGTAATCAGGTAGAAGATGTTGGAGATTATATATGTGGTATATTTTAATATTTAAAATAAAAATCTAATGTTGGTCTGGCATTAAAATTTTCTGGTTGGGCAGCATAATTTTTAACTGGGAATCTTGACAGCAGTGGCTAAAATCTCTAGACCTGGGTCAGTAGGAATCTGTATTGCATTCTGTCAAGTATCAGTCATGATACTTGCAGGCTCCCAGTTATAGCATACGCTGATCATATGATTTGTAGAAGGTATAGGGTGCTTTTTCTTCAGTGAGAGTTTAAGAACTTCATTATTCTTAGTATTCAAATCAGATAAGTAACATGTATTCTTTCCAAAATGTTAGTGAATTTAGCATGCAACGTGTGTGCCGGATTGGTAATATATTGAGATAAAAATGATCAACAAAGCAAGTTTAAAATGCCATGATAAAGCATCATTTATTTCAGAAGTTAAGAGTCTGTGTCTTTGTCCTCTAGAGGTGTCTCAGAGAGTCAAATTGATGTCTTGCATGTACTGCTAACTGATTGTGTGGAAATTTTTTTAAGTTCACTTTTTCTTTATTCTTCTGTCTTTTTTACCCATCTTCCCCCATTGTAGCAAATTAGACGGCCGGATGAAAGCAAAGGAGTTGCTAGTAGAGTTGGATCCCTCAAAGTAAATATGTTTCTAACATTTATTTTGCAAGTTTTCTTCTATAGCCTACACTTTTCCTTTTGAAGGGGGAGGTGAGGGGAGGGAGGGAAGGGACTTTTCCATTTCTCACCATCCCATCATTTTTATTTCAGTATTCTTATTGCTGTTGGGTCACATTTTGTTTGTTTCTGTGCTACACATAGAACAACCTACTGAAGGCAGGCTGCCAGTTAGGTAGCTTTGGATGTCACTACAAATAAGAGATAGTAACAACTCTCTTGAAGTGCCTGTAATTTGGTGATCATGATTAAACCACTTCTCTGATCTCTGTTGTTTGTTGCCTGTTACGTGGAGAAGTGGCTTACTCATCTTCAAACTACTGCTTCCCATCTTCAAACATAATTAAACTTTTATAGTGTTGACGCTTTTTGCATTTAATTCTGCAAAACACCATTACAAGATAGTTGAATATTTCATATATATGTAGCCTTTAAATAAGAAAAAAATACCAGAGTAAGTAAAGATGAAATGAGAGATTCACAAGAGTCTATGAATGGAGCCACTGTTTTGCTGATAATTAGTATCTTCTGCCTTTTGGTGTTTGTATAAACATGCCCAAATATTTAGATTGCTTAACAGAACAGGCAGATATCTAAACCAGTACCCACCATGTTACACCCTGATAAATGGTTTGGAACCAAGATGCTGATCATATGCAGTCCAAGCCATTTTGTTTAGGTTCCTTTTCAAGAGTTGCGTCTCTTTCAACTATCCAATTTTTCACTTTTCCCCACTTTATTTCCTTTTAGCACTTTCTCAAGCACTAATTTGTTTTTTTCTTGTGCATTCTCCTTGCCTTTTCTACCTTCTTGGTTTTTTACCTCTGTTTTGGTTTTGGTTTTGTATATGAATGTATTGCCTTTGTTCCAGGACAAGCCATCCTCTCTGTTCTCTAACACTGTTCTACAGCTGCTCTTTGTGAAAATGTTGTTTCACTGAGCACAAAGAAGGGGAGGGAAAAGATTAATTATGTACATTTTCCAGTAATGCCACCACTTAAATTGATCTCAACATAGAAAAAGAAGGCAGTTGTTACTTGTTTATACAGGTTCTAGCTAGAGGCATCTGTAGCATTCCTCACTGTCTGTGAGGCTTTATCTTTTCGTCTTGTGATTTGGGAAGAGGTTTTAATTACGGTGTAGATGAGAAGAGCACTGTACATGAATGAGGCACTCTTTCAGTGGCAGACATTCAGACCACTGAATTCACATAGAGGAAAATAAAAGACAGCACTGTTTCTATGCTGTTTTTGAAAATTGTGTATGTAACTACAGTGACCTGTGCGTCTTAAGGCTTGGGTCATCACATACAATTCTAGATTCGTAATGCATGTATATATGCAGAAGATGTAGCTTATTTATGTGGTGGGTTTCACCTATTATTTTTATGGACACCTAATGATACCTAATTTTGGATGAATATTTCTGTATCGGATTGCCTAAGATTTAATTATATGACCCAAAATACATATTTAGACACAAAAATCTTCCTTATAGAAAATGGGAAATCCTAGTTGAGGTTCCCAAACATGAAAATTTACCTCTAAAAATTATTCTTTATGGAAATAAATTCTAGACACAGCCTTACCAATAAACAAGGAAATAAATAAATATGTACATAATAAACAGTGTAGCAGAAATTCAGTAGCTTTAGAATGATAGTTCTCTTGATTTTTCAATTTTTTTTTCCTGTAGTGGGAAAGAGCCATGTTAGGCAAAGATGTCTTGCTTCCAGATTCCAAGTTTACTGAGCTTGTGTGTCCATGTTGTTCAAAGCACTTTGATGTCTTGAAATGTTTTGGCAGAGGCAGTGAGAAATGCGTTAAGCTATGATTTATTAAAAACAAAATAAAACACAAAAAAAAAGAACAAAATAAAAATGAAGAAAAAAAAATGATTATGAGAACAGGTTGCTTTTTCAATTCATTTCCTGATGTTTACATGTAGCTCCGTCGAAAGCGGAAGGAGCTCAGAGATCACCTAGAAGGCAATGTCAAAGGATGCTCTCTCCGAGTAAATGTACGATTTCACTCGGTCATCTGATTTTTTTAAAACTTCTGCTGGCTGGTAACACCAAATCTGATTGGTTTGTCCTCTCATCCCCATCTTTTTCCTTTCTCCTTCTCTTTCTCCCTTTGTGTTTTCTTTCTTTTCTAGCTGGGGCTTCATTTTAATGTGTATGAGAAACCTGACCTAATTGACAGCTTGTTTAAAAAGACATCCTACTGCATTTTAATCAATGCTAATCAAACTGCTTGGCTTCACAGAAACTAAAAAAAAAATCCCTTTCCAAAATCAAAGTTGCGTATCTAAAACTTCCAAAATCAAAGTTGCATATTTAAAAGTTTCCTGAATATTAAACTTAGCAATAAATAAAACAGATGTCCTTAATTAAAAGGATAATTCTTCTGCCAGGGTTTGATAGTCCTACCTGAACCAAAAACTGTGGTTAATATAAGGTAACCCAAAAGCGTATAGGTTCACATGTACCTCTGTCTTTAGCTTCAGTCTTTTTGGGTTAGGTTAATATTTGGCTGAATGAAAGCTGTGAAAATTCTGTTGCTTGTTTTTTTTAGCAGACTAATGCATAAAATTCTGCAGCATATTTCCTATGCATTACATTTACTCCTTAATGAAAAAAAATGTGAAAAATAATTAGAATCTAGTGTATGTCATGACACCCCTATAAAGTTGCACATTTTTCACAAATATTTAATAAGGCAAGTTAAATCCAGTGTAACACTACAGACAGCAGTACCTCATGTTTAGTAGTTCAACTCATAAATTAAGATCAGCAGTTCTATGGAAGTGACTTTAAGCCACATAATTTTGTGTATAATGAAAATTAGGAAAATATGACACTTTTAGCATAGTAGATGTGAAACTTAGTAACCCTTTATCCCTTTGCACATCCATTCACTGAAGGTTCTCTGAATAATTTCTTTGGATTCATGTCCTGTTTGTCTTCCATACACTGTGATTGTTGTCATTCTCAGCACTATCATTCTAATGCATAATCCACTAAGTTTATACAGTGCAAGATAATTTTGGTAATGATAACAATTTGATAATTTTTACCCCTTTGGGTGCTTTTGCTTATCCAGCTATGTATCTGACATAAAGATGATTACTGCTTATTGTCAAATACAAGTTCTTGAGTTTATAATCTTTTGCAGGTCAAATACAAGGAAATTGAACTGCTAATATTTTGCAGTTTCTATAAAATAAATTTGATTAAAGGACAGTATCTTTTTCCTGGCAAATCTTTTAAGAATCAAGTTTTGAGGGGAATAAACTGTGTCATATTTCAGATTTGATGGCAACTCAAATTTATTAGTCACAATCAAGATAAAGCGAGTTCCTTTATTTTAAACTACTCATTCTTAAATTTGTGATTTAATGCTTAAGAATAAATATAAAACCAGGAAAAAAAATTATGCTGTGAAATCTTGTACTACAAAAAAGATGTTATAATCACACATTATGTCACAGATTGTCACATGGGGAAAGATTTCAAATTAAAAGCTGTGACTACATTAGCTGTGACAACATGACTACATGAGTTGTCATGAAATTGTCCTGTTCCTCTGTGGCAATTTATCTGTTATTTCCTGACCATACCCTACGTGATCTAAGTCAGTCAGTCAGTAAAGAATATAAGTAATTAAACAAACAAATGTTCCACGTATTCTGCATACGCCTTTAAGTTTCTTAAAACAAGCAGGGCACATTGCTAAAATTTACTGCTTTGTCACTGCTGCTCTGACTCATGCAGTAATAATGGATATTTTAGACAGGACAGCATTTTAAAAATCAATATACAAATGACTGATCAAAGAAAAGAAATATTGGACAGTTCTCAATAGGGGAGAATTGGAGAAAAAAAATGAGGAATCTGTTAATAATTCATTGTTAAAATAATTTTCATCTTTTCCATATGCTTTTGGAAAGGGTTTTAGATACAAGTTGCTGATACTCCTACAACATGGCAAAACTATTGAATGGTATGGGAGGGGAAGCATGTAGTATCTGATGGCCAGCTCCATAAGTGAAAATGAAATGCTATTGCACAATTGTGTATTGCAAAATACCATTAAGGTGGAACCTTTGTTCCAGAATGAATTGCAAAGACTTGCTTTCTGGATTAAATTCAAAGGCTATTGGAAATATGTAGGAAACACTGGAATTCTGCAGAATATCCCCGATGCCACCAAAAGTTTAGAAAGCCTGCTAGATATTTGAAATAAAATTGCACTGAAAATATGCATAAAAATTTGAGTTAATTAAGCAGTTTTGGAGGTTGAGTACTTCTCGTTTTTAATATGTTTTAATATCAGCAGTAACACATAACCCATTTACAAAAAGTTAATCCTGACCTAAGATTTGGTTTTGCATTTCTTCTTGAGAAATTCATTCATCTTGAGGTTATTTTCATTACTTAATACTCTGGCCCCTCCCAGAGACCGGTTTGACACTGAATTGTTGAGAAAAAATAGTGTTCTGTCACTTGGATATGTTAGCATTCCCCCACTGTTCAACTTAATGTAGCAAGTGTATTTGCTGCTGACATGATCAACAGTGAAAGAGTTGACTGGTTTATATTTTAGAACTCATAATACCTGCTAAAACCAATACCCTTATGAAAGTGTGGAATTACTGTGAAATTCAGCAGAACAATAATGCTTCTGTATGTGCTTTGGAGATTTTTTGGGTTTGGTTTTTTTTTGTAATTGTGCAGGCTAAGAATTTCAAATGCAAGTTTAATTTCTGCAGAAAAATATTATGGAAAGCCCATCAGAAAAAAATTTAAATCTACGTATAGAAGTTCTACACAGAGTTTCCAAGTGATATGCCAAACAATTTTTTGTGGCTTTTAACCAGTATGGTTCCAAGTCCAAGATTCTGGATTTGTTCATGAAAAACATTCTCAGAATTCATAGCAGAGGCCAAATACTGTCAATAGATTATGTTAAATGGAACTGGGATAATAATTTCTCATACAGGCCTGTGTCTCTCAGAGTCTACAGTCTCCTGCATGCATTTTCTGTCTGACTTTAAGTACCTGCCTTCTTTGGCCATGATGAAGGATTACATTTACGTGATTTTTGTTCTTGATCCTAATATTCCATTATTAAAGATCTGAGTCAAGCCAATAAAGCCTTCCAGCTGACAACAAATTGCTCTTGAGCATTTGAACCAGGTTCTCAGTTGATGTAAATAGGCATAGCTCTTCTTAAATCATTCTCACGGTGGGGAATTTCTTTGACTGATAATTTGACCCTTAAATTGAATGTTCATGGGGGGAAAGAGCACATTAGCACATTAGCTTCACCTAACATTATATGTAGGGGTTGTCCAGTAGCATGCAAAATAAGGAGAGCTGCTCCCTCTGTCAAACTGGAAGAAACAATCACTTAAGTTCATATATGACAAGAAGTTTTAAGTAGAGTTGGTGATAGATTGCAGAAGCATCCAAGGAGCTTGGAAAAGGACTGACATTTAATTTTAATAGCACAGAAGCTTACAAAATCCTGGAATTGGGCAGATGCTAAAAATGGAAACTAGTTAGCAAGAAATCAACATATAGAAATGATCAGGAAATTTTAAGTGTGCAGCAGATTAAACAGTCACATTGTGTGATCCAGTTGAAGATAAAACACACAACAATCCCCATGGCAGGAGTGTGCTGTGAGCATAATCCTTTCCTCAAGAACATTAGGTCATTTTGAGACTAGAACACTTCAGTATATCTTTGATTTAATCATTATGAGAAAATTAAATAAGTACATTGAGAGACTATACATAAAAAAAAATTAATTTTGAAGTAAGATTAGGAGATTAAGGGAAATTGTGTGTGTGTGTTTTTTAGCATAGGAAGAAATAAAATATACTGGTATCTTGCTGAAGGGAATATTATCATTGCTTCTATAGAATTAGAACTATGAAAAAGAAAATATAAAATTACTTGCAGTTATTAAATTCTAATTGGAATAAAAATGAAGTTAAATGGTTTCATTATTAATGAAAATATGGATAATTAGATTACAGGATACTTTGACAAGGAAAGTAATAGTATTCTACTTGTAGTAGTTCTCTAAGAGAAGATTAAAGTACACAAGTGTCTACCATACCCCTTGTGAATTGGTGTGAGGAGTAGACAGAGTGAGATCTTTATGGAGTATGGTTCCAAACTTCCTCACCATTGTTTTTGTTAATCTAGTTGCTCAGACTTTAAAAACTGATGCTGTGATGCTTCTTGCTATTACTGCATACTTTGGATTCTCACCTGCAAAGCCCAAGCTAATGTTTTTTTTCCATGCTGTTGGAAGACAAACCATGGGAACAATGGCTGGACATTATTTATGAGAATCTTAATTAGAAACTCATCCAAAAGTCTTGGGTGAATAGCCGCACCCCTGTTCTGAGCAAAAGCACACCTGTCTTTCTTAGAAAGATTTCAAAAGCAGTGTTTCTAGGAACAGTTTTTGCTCTGTCAGAAGAGGATCTCTCTTTTTTTTTCTTTAATTATAAAATAAACTGTTTAAGAATAATAATTGATTTCTTAAAACTGTGAGATTTGCTCTTGCTATTTCTCTGAAGGAATTTTCTGGTTTTGTCTTAATCCTTCTGCAAATCATCTCAACATAAAAAAACATTTCATCAGTTGAAGAACGTGCTGAGGATGTGAATATTTAAGATGATGTGAAGTGATTCAGATTTTCTTGGTAGTGTTATCTGGAAGAGCAAATGAAATACACAATGCAAGAAAGGAACAAAAATATTTTCATAGTATTAAAAACTTTTCAAGGAGGAAAAATCTATTGTATAGAAACATATAATGGAGACATAATTTAACACAGACCAATGTGACTGTAGAAGTGATATTTTATATTTCAATGAAAAAATATGGAATACACATTTGAGACTGAAGAATATTCTTCAAAGACTTCTTATGAATACCATGTTCTCTACTCAGTCCATTATATACCTAAGTCAGCAAGTGGTCACTAATAACTTATGTGGAAATTCTTGCTGTATTCATCTTTACCACAAATTTATCTAAATTGCTGTACAGTTTTTTAAGTCTAAGGAAGTTTTGCTAAGGCTTCTCATAATTAATATTTCCCCCCAGAAAAAAAATCAAGAGGAGATTTTTAGTGCATTTATAAGAACCGTGTCTTTTTAATTTTCACTTATTAGGCTGCTTTTACTCATTCTTCACAGACAGTGAAACATGAAATATTCTCACCCAAAGAAAGGATTTTCCTCTAAACTACTGGAGAGTCCTTTTTTAATACTTGATTTAAGTCTGCGTGATTAATAGTTTAGAGTATTGGCTATCCCATATAAACAAAATGTGTCTTAAGCAATCAGTAAAACTAGTGTTACCAATTAACTGCAAGCTTCTGACAGTGGACAGAGTCCCTCAAGAATCACAGACTTTATGTTGCGTAGAGGCATAATCTGCAGTTTTCTACCAACCTATATTTGTCCACTAGTCATTGAACTTTGCAAGTTATTCTGGTTTTTGGGGCAGAGAGATTGAAGAAGAACCTCCACTGTTAAAATGCTGGTTCTGAGTATGTCAACACATAAAGATATACAGGACCTCTAATGGGTTTTCACATTATAGCCTTTGCAGAGTTAGAATAAAACTAATAGTTTTAAATGAAAGAGATTAGTAAAGTTTCATCCTGGAATACCTTATTGTCCTAAGGATAGTGTTGTCAGTTATTTAGAGGAGGAAGGATTGATAGTTGTCTTCAGATTCATCATTAGTTTTAATTATTTTTCAAATACAACACTTTTTTTTTTCAAGAAGCTTCCACCTTAAAAGGCATAAATTTGGAGTCTATGAAACAGCTGGTCATGGAAACTTTATGAACCCCCTGTTACTATCTCAGTGCTGGAACCACCTATACAGAAAACTTTCTGAGACCCTTACTGTGCCACCATTTCTTTTTTAACAATGTTTTCTTTTCCCCACTGCACAACCAGGCTCGACTCCCTTCGTGCTCATCCACCTATAGTGTTTCTGAGGTATACTTTGCACGTGTTCTCTCACACAGTCGACCTGCTCACCCATCACACTTTTTTGATTTCATTTACTCTTATTCTTTTTTTTTTTTTGCATTGCACTGTGCACAAGTGGGGAAAAATCAGCTTGGGGGGCAGATTTTGCATGATCAATCTGCAACCATGTTCAGCGTGGTTTTAAAATCACTGTACCAGTCTGGGGCCACCATGATGTATGGTCTAGCTAGGCATCTGCTACATAGCACATGAGCTGAAACTGTATGATAAAGCATTCTTAGTTATCTCTTACATTAAAATAAAAATAAGAAAATGCCAAATGCTGCACCAGTTAGTCTGACCTCTTTTCAGATAGTGAAACTGAAAAGACTCTGTAAAGATGGCCATCAAGTTATAATTACTAATTACCTGTCTAGATAAAGCTGTGTTCATTATATCTGAAGTTCATTATTAATTCACAAAGCTCTGGCTTGGGTCACGGCCTGCCAAAATGCATAAACCATTTTAAATACTTCTGTATCAGCTTCATGATCATCTTCTACAATGAGGTATGGTACCATCTTAACAGGACTTGAAAATAAAAATACTTTCACCTGTAATTAGAATGGGAGGAAAAAGAAGTATGTTAAGATAAACTAGAATTCACAATATCATGGAATAGCAACAGAGTTTATAAAATACTGTCAAATTAACACCATTACCTGCTATGTAAAGATTAGGCTTCAGCATATTATTATAATTGATAAATGGAAGAGTATAAAAAAGATGGACTTGAGGTTTTCTGCTATACTGAATCAGTCTTGAGCAGATATAGTTATTTATTCTGTATTTTAAAATAATCCCTTAAAGTTGGCAAGATCTTCTAAAAAGTTAACAGTTCGCTCTATCTCACACTGTGGGCCAAGTTCTAGACCTGATCTGAATTCATGAAAATTATACAAAATGCAAGCATAAAGAGCTCACCTACTCGATCAGTTTGTCCCTAAACAGAAAGATCTGTGTGTAACCAGTACCTTGCTGATGTGTAATTTGTTCTCAAAATCTTCAACTTCTCAAGCAATCATTTCTAGCACTTCCTTATCCTTAGTAATAGAAGGTTTTTTCCTAGTTTCAGTGTATGAATAGGCAAAAGATATAATAGAACTGTTCTTAAGAAGAAAGATGCTTACCAATTTTTCTGTAATGGATCAATAGTTATTGTCTGGCTGCGCCAGAAGACAAGTAATTCTAAAAACAATCAAGTATTTGTTCTTAAAAGCACCTGATACGTATTCTGCAGTTTATTGTAACTCATTACTGTATTGTATGAAAGCCTCATTGTTTTTATCATTATCATCAAAACACCAATACAGAATAAATAAATTATACTATATTCATGTGCATACAAAGACACTTTTTTCTGAGCTAATACAGGGGCAAGAAATTAAGTTTAGTGCTTACAGATGCAAGACAGAAGCCATCCTCACTCCGTTCTTCGGAATATCTGTATGAAATTAAGAAAAAGCAGTGGATCACCATCAGCAAAAATGGTGAACATGCTCTTAGAGATTATGAATCAATAAGTCACTTACAGGGAAACTGGACTCTTCATGCTTTGCCTGCAACTTCAGTCATTTGTCCTTCCCTCCACTTTATGGAGGGATCACTGTCTTTGAAAGAAATACATACCAAGGTATTGCAGCTGGTGACTAGTCAACATGTATGGGTCTCCTGCTTGATCAGATTCCAAAAACTTTTTTGCCTTCTCCGAAGCTATCACTTATTTGCAATTTGTAGAAAAGACTCTGCTAGCTGAAGTTTCAAGATGCCACTGCAAGACTGTGAAAGCAATTCATCCTTTATACTCTGTCCAAGGGCAAGGTCTTCCTATCTAAAATGCAGGCATCTTCTGATGCAGTTTCTAGCTAATCATAAATCAGAATTTCATGCTCATGGAACACACAGTGCAAGACCTAAACAGTCCTGTTTTAAACTGCAAACTGAAGGTGTAAAAAAAATACAGATACATTATTCTCTGGTGGCAGGGTAGCACCCTGTATATTTTTGAATAGACCATTCGAGCCAGTGACAGATCCAAAGGAACAAATAAATTGGAATTTAAGGTCTCTGTAGCAGTTGTAGCTATTTGAAGAGGCAGGAAGGGATTGGAGGTTCTCTGGGGTCTGTAAAGGATTTGTAGTCTCACTTCTATCTTTGTGAGAGACTCTTCATTTGGAAATACAACTTAATGTCAGGATCCATATCAAGCAATGCTCAATGTCATCTGCTATTATTTTGGAAAATGGGAAAGGTTGCTATGAGTAAACAACATCTTGGCCTCTAAATGACATGATAGGAAATCTCCCAAACTGAAGTATTGTTAAATCAAGTCCGAAAGCCTGCCAGCAGTTTTGATCAGGGGAAGAAAATGAGTAATATTGTATTGTATAATGTCTCATATGCAGGAGGGAAAAAAGGACCACATTTTTTATAGGATCTCAAGGTTGTTTCTTATGTCCACACCTATTTCTGTGGCTCTTATTCCAAGAAAATATTTTTCTTAAGCTAATTCTTAAAGCACCAGGTTTGGAGGTTCTTACTTTTCTTTGCCCAAGTCATCACCAAATAGCTTTGGACCTTCAGATGATATCAGGAACACAGTGACGAGAGAAATGGAATCAGTGCTGTGGGAATTCAGCTGAATGTTCCTTCTGACAAAGGTACAACGAAAGATAAAAGGGAGAACCTCATATAAATGGTTTCTGAATTCTGTTTTTAGGAAATAGATGTATTAGATTCATCATAAAAAATTTCCTCGCAATTTTCATTGTTAAGAAAAGCTCTGGAATTGGATTAATTGGCACTGGTACAGCTCAGATTGCCAAAAAGGAAAGTGAGTGTACTATCGAGGATTTGCTGTCACATAGGAGGTCTTTGATTAAAGAAGTAGAAGATCTTCCAGCAGAAGAGAAACGGTACCTGCATATTCTGCATTGTGAAGAATTTAAGGCAGATTTTGCTGTCTATGTTTTTTCATAGAAAATGTTCTTGTAGAGGCTATTTTGCATCTGAGTCCAAAGCTAGAAAAAGCTTTTCACCTGTTCGTTTTTATTGTCACCAGTTGCATGGATGAAACGGTAGATGTGGTCAACTGATGCCTACTTGAGAGGAATGGGCAGAAAGATTTTAGAAACTTATGCTTGCTTTTAGGTACAGAAGGGTTTTCCTAGTTTGTTGAGCTCCAGGCATTATAGGATAGTAGTATTATATACCTATTTGTCTTCAGTCAGCACCTTAGCAATTCCACTTGTCTAGAATCAGATGTTGTCTTTGGTTCAATTCAGTGAAATCGAAGTGAGTTTCTTTAAGCAGTGATTTCCTTTTGACAAGAGAAGTAAAGCTTTAATACTCTAAAGTGCTATAATGATAAAATATATGTTCATATTATCTTTAAATTTCACGGCATGCAATAAAGGTTTTCACCCTTGATGAAAACCAGTTAGCTTAATGCCTGTAATTTTTGTGAATGTTAGCAGGGCTGCTTAAATGATTGTCTAAGACTAAAATTATTAATTAGAACTAATAATGACTTAGCAGTTGTGAAGTATAGTATATGTATAATATATCTGTAATTTACTTATTAACCAGTTGTCACAAAACATAGTAATTTATTTTTAATTAGCAGTAGTTCACTTAAGAAATTATTCCATCAAATTGGCTTCACTTACATTTTTAGAAGTACTCTGACATCAGCTTGTATCTTAAAAATGTCACACACAATGTAAATTGAATAGATTGTCCAATGAAGGTCCGTAGCGTCCTAATGTATAAAATTACACTTAGGTAGTGTTATGCAATGGCCCCATTTTTTATTCTCATTTGTGTCCCAGACTTTCTGTTACCAACATCAGTTTCTTTCCCCCTCTGTCTCCCTCTCTCTCCCTGTCCTCTGGCTTTTGCATGCGCTCTGTGTTTGGCTAAAAGCGTAATGAAGGAAACCTGTTGATCTGCTTGTTGGAAGGACAGTGGCAACAAAATGTTTACTGCAGTGCTATTCCTAATTTCTAAACAAATTAAGTTTTTCAAAGAGGAAGACATTCAGGTCTGTAGCTTGTCATATGTTTTATTTAGCCTCATTGAGAGGTTAGAACATGATGCCTTTTATTGTGAAAGATCTGCAAAATATTACTTTTCTCTCCCACAAAATATAATTATTTCCATAAAAATAGTTTTGGAATATATATTGGCTGCATACTTATCGATTTGGTTGTATACTTAGCATTGTTAATAAAACAACAGAGACCTGTGTTGTCTTACCTAATTATACAGGGTAACCAGTACAGGGAATTAAGTAGCAGTATTCAGAAAACAAGAGTCAATACTGTTTCCTGCAGCAGGTAGTTGACTTCAGAAGACCATTCGGAGACCACATGAAGATTTTTAAGTGCTCTAGGTTAAACTATTTTATATAGTATACCTTACAAAATGTTAATAAGAAGTTGAATGATAAAATCACAACTATTTTCCAGATAATGTAATATACATTTCTATATTCTGAAACCCAAGTAATTCAGAAATAATTTCCATCCTTCCCCATTTGGAACTTTAAAGTTCCTTACTTTTTGTTTCAAGACAAATCTTTATGTTTCAGTTTTTAATAAATTCTTCCCCTTGCTTCTTGTACCACAAAACAGGGAGACATTTCACCCTGCTAGAGATGTGCAGTCCTTTATGAAACAAATTAGATCAAACTAGAGAGCTATGAATGTCATTTTCCTTTTGACTGATTATAGCTTAGACTCCTTCGCATTTTCCAAAGTCAGTCTTGTCATTATTTCACTAAAGACACATCCATTTAAGCAGAGGAGTTTTTTCCATTTTCTTGTGCTGTACCATTTTTTTGACTGTATGGCAATAAAATTGATTTGATTAGATATAACTGTGAGATTTCTTTTCTAGACAACCACTGTTTTCTTTTAAAATCCAGTATTAAGCTGTTCACCAGCATATAGTGTTTAGAATTTACT